AGGGTTTGTCAAAATCACAAAGGAAAAAATGCAACAACACCCCCTGACACGCACACTCCTCTCCCTCCCAGCTCAGTGTGGAGCACGCCCCCACGGCCTCCCCACATCGCTGGCTGATCATTTCAGAGACATTTGCAGCAATTGCCTGAGTATATTTCTTTCCATTCCCTGGCTAAACTACAATTCTGCTATGTAGGAAAGTTACGGATGGGATGCAAATGTGCCCCTTCCTGGTTCTATATTGTCACCACTCTGATTCAGATTTGGAAGAGGGGAGCGCGGCGTTTTTTGAGAACACTCAAATGTAGTGTAAATTTCAAATGAAAAGGCAGGCTCTTTCAGTTATTGAAGGTGCAGAAACACATTAACTTATTAATCTACGCAGACTATGATGTCTTGCCTCTTTCCACTCCCCTCCCAGGCTATCTTCCAACTCTCTCTCTCTCTCTCTCTCTCTCTCTCTCTCTCTCTCTCTCTCTCTCTCTGTGTGTGTGTGTGTGTGTGTGTGTGTCTGTCTGTCTGTCTCTCTCTCTCTCTCCTCTTTCAGAGATAATGAACAAGCAAAAGTATCAGTGTTTTCTGGCTCCACGGGTGTTAGGTACAATGTTCAAATGTTGGATAATCATTATTTATTCTGTAACGATTGAAAGGACTTTTCCGTGTGGAAAGACGAAAATGGAGATTTATGGTTACTGTCTCGTCGATGATGGAAGCTGTGCAGAAGTGAAGATGGATTTGCTCCCCAAGCCCCAGGCTCGACAAAACTAAGGGGATACAGTCCAAATCAAAGGAGAAGCTATTTACAAACAGATTTAGGACTACCAGAGTCCTGGGGGAGCGTTGGCATTCTAGGATCATGGTGGAAGTATCTGAATTGGAATTCCCTCCACTAACTGAGCCACTTAGACAATTTAGCATTTCCGAGCCTGAGTTTGTCTGGTGAAAAAGTGGAGATGACGCTCTTTATGAAAGAGGGAGTCTGAGAGAGCGAAGGGAAATGCCTGTCAGCCTGCCTTGCAGTCACGTGTGCTCATGAATGTCGGAGTGTTACCGGACGCTCCTGCCCCCACCTGGCATGTCCCTAGGCAGTGTGTTCAAGTGCCAATTTTCCAGAGCCAGTCTGTATTAAGAGGGCTAGTTAGAAAAGTGATGGCGAAGTTGATGCGTGCTCATGAATTCCAGCTCTTGTTAAGTTCCACTTCTTGAGGCTGGCATCTCACAGGACAATTGCAGCCCTCAGCCCGAATAGTGACAAAGGGCTGTCTGACTGCCGTGTGCTACAGACTTCTGCACGGCTTCCTTCTATGCTATCCCTCATTAACACAAACTTCCCAGCCCGTCGGAGTTGCCTGAACAGCTAATATACTCTATTAATTTGAATTAAAATGTTAATGAGTGGTAATGACTTTTAATCTGCTGACACTCCCATATAAGTCCTGCATTTTAGCCCAAGCATTCAATGACTTGGCCCAAAAAAAAAAAAAAAGATTGCTGTAGGACATCCAGTTTTCCTGAGAAATCCAGTGTAGGAAAGGGGACCTGCTTAAATGAGATCAAGAAAGAGAAGGGACCAGTGTGTCAAACCAAGCAACTAAAAGCATGTGCTTTGTAGCTGTGTTGGCTAGTTTTGTGTCAGCTCGATACAAGCTAGAGTCAGCTAAAAGGCAGGAGCCTCAATTAAGAAAATGCCTCTATAAGATCCAGATGTAGGGCATTTTCTTATTTAATGACCAATGGAGGAGGGCCCAGCCCATGGTGGGCGGTGCCATCCCTGGGCTGGTGGACCTGGGTTCTATGAGAAAGCAGGCTGAGCAAGTCATGATGGGCAAGTCAGTAAGCAGCCTTCCTCCATGGCCTCTGCATCCGCTCCTGCCTCCGGGATCCTGATCTGTTTGAGTTCCTGTCCTGACTTTCTTCAATGATAAATTACAATAAGGAAGTTGAAGCCAAAGAAACCCTTTTCTCTCCCCAACTTGCTTTTGGTCATGGTGTTTCGTTGCATCAACAGAAACCCTAACTAAGGCAGCAGCTATCGACGCTTGCTGCCAGTCTGATCTTTCATTCTCATTCCAAATTCCAGGAATGAACTCAGGTTGCGGAGAAAACACACAGGTCACTGATAAGGTCACAAGAAGAGTGCCCAAATGCCTTAAATAATATTCTATGGTGAGGAGTCACAAGGTCCCACACTATACTACAAGCCAAATCCCACCTCAATGACTCATTGGAAGGAGAGCCTCTACAACGTTAAGTTCTCCTCCCCCCCCCCCCAGTAGATATGCCCTGGATGCCTTCTCCAAAAGCCTGGGCACACAAATTTCTCTATAAGGAATGGTATTTGGTGCGAGTTTCCATTGCTTGCTGGCCACTCGGAATGGTTCCTTTCTAGTGGATGCAAAGGAGGAATACTGCTGAGCCTGGAATGAGAACGTGAGTCACCACACAGAAAATGGGAAGACTTCATCGTAATGGCTTTCACAGCAGTGAGGTTCCCCGACCTGATGAAGTGAGCACTGTGGCACCTACCTCATGAGGTTCTGTCACAAGAAGGAGAATCGTTGGGGACTGGGGAGAGCGCGCAGCGGGTAAGGCATTTGCTGTGCAAGCGTGAGGACTGGAGTTGAGAGTCTCAGAAATTCACATAATTACAGGTGGGTCTAGGAGCCCGTCTGTAGTTCCAGCCTCAGAAGGCAGAGTCAGGGATTCCCAGGGCAACCTGGCTAGCAAGGCTCGCTACATCAGTGAGCTTGGGGTTTGATGGAGAGACCCTGCCTCATTGCACAAAATGGAAGATTGATCAAAGGTCATTCCCAGCATCAACCTCAGACCTCCACATACATGTATGCATGCATACATATGCATACACACACATATAAAACCGCACACACACACACAATACAGAAAAAAAAATTAAAACGTATAGCTAGAGAAACATTCAGAGCCAAGCTGGTTTCTTCTTGCTCTTTGGAGTGATCTTATTAATCAGTTAGTTACAAGTAGGAGACCACAGCTCCGCTGCAGCTCTACCCTGTGCCACAATCAGACACTTGCATGTTTGCCTTCCTTCTGAACCCCGACGGCTACTAGAGGGCAGGAAACAACTTGATTCCTGTTATCTCTAGTCTCTGGCACAGAACCTGGCACAGGATAGCTGTTCAATAACTATTGCTGGGTGAATGAGGCCAATGGGGAAAAACAAGACAAAATATTGTCAAGAATAACACACACCTCCTGAATGCCCATCAAATCAGAGAAAGAGAAAGGCGCTTAGAAAATCCTGTCACACTGACAGGAAAGGTAGGTGTGTGTGTGTGTGTGTGTGTGTGTGTGTGTTGTATTGCTCATGCTCATGTAGGGTGTACAATGTATTACAAATGTATACACATATGCTCGTATGAGTGTATGGAATCCAGAGGTTGATGCCGGCTGTCTTCCTCAGTAATGCTCTACCCTAATTTTTGAGACGTAATTTTTGAGTCACTCACTGAACCTGGAGCTTGTCGATTCAGCTATACTGGCTGACCAGCATGCCCCAGGACCTGCCTCTTTCTGCCCTTACCCCTTGGCACTGGGGGTAGAGATGCAGTTACTTTCACAGCTGCAGACTTGGGTGCTGGGTATCCAACACCATCAGGTGCTCATGCTTCATGAACACTAAACCCTTTGCTGACTGAGCCACCTCCTCAGCTCTGAGATACCCTCTTCTGATGTCTGGGGACAAAATGGGGGGGGGGCTGCTACTCTCAGGGACTCGTTGTGAAGGGAACAGACATGCATGATCATGGCAAGGGGGAGGGAAAGCGAGGGGGAGGGAAAGCGAGGGGGAGGGAAAGCGAGGGGGAGGGAAAGCGAGGGAGTACTGCGGAAGGGGCACAGCCCTCCTCTGGGAAAAGACATCGGCTCCTGGAAAGTTACATGTAGGGTCGTGTGTGTGTGTGTGTGTGTGTGTGTGTGTGTGTGTGTGTGTTATCTAGTTCTAGTAAAACTTAATGAATGGGTCCTTTCACTTAACGCGGCAGTGCGAAATGCAACGTGAGCTAAAGTGTGTGAAGGAGGGAACAGTCCAGTATGGGGTGTGGGAAAGCGCATCTTCCTTTGTGGGAACCGTATTTCTCTAGAAGGCCTTTGATCATGATAGGACTCCAGGGGGTTATTGATTAGACCAGAAAAGAGCAAGAACCAGGGAGATGAGCATACAGCATCAGCCACAATGAGGGCACTATGCCTGCTATTGGAGGTAGAACAGGTACTACACGGGGATCCGAGGGTTCTAGCCAAGACCTCAAACAACTCGGGGAGCTCCAGACTCCCAGGTTTGGGTCTGAAAACGGATGGAGATGACCGCCCATAGAGGAGGTGATGTTTTTCAGGCTGAGTACCTAGCCCACAAATTACCACGAGCATCTCTGCTGAAGTTGACCTGTCTTAGGCATTTCTTCTTCCCTCCTCTCTTCCACTTCCCCTCCCAATTCGTCAACTGCTGAAACATAGCCCAGAGGAAACCGCCTCTTCGTTGCGCGCTGAGACCGTCCCCAGGTGTGTTAGTCTTTGTGTCGGGAAAACTTTGAGAGGAAGCGAGGGCGCTGGACAAAGAGAGGAAGGCGGAGGCCGTTTGCCAGCCAGCCCCAGTGCCCCGAGTTACCCCGTGGCTCAGGCCAGTCTCCGGATCGCTTTCGATAGCCCAAGCCCAGCCTGCCTAGGCCTGGAGTGGCAGACTCTCTGAGCCCTTCCGGGTGGGAGTCGCAAAGGCAGCTGGCTGGCCGCTGGAGTTAGTGGGAGGAGGCTAGGCAAGGCGCGGAGCAAAGCTGTCAAACTGCGCCCGGAGCCCGGTGTGGGGCGTGGGGAGGGGAGAAAAGGAGGAGGGAGGGGAGGGGAGAGGGGAGGGGCGGGTAGGAGCAGGGAGAGCGATCGAGAGAGAGAGAGAGAGAGAGAGAGAGAGAGAGAGAGAGAGAGAGAGAGAGAGAGAGAGAGAGAGAGAGAGCGCGAGCTCGCCGCGCCTGAGCAACCCCTGTCTGTCGCTGCCGCTGTCGCCTTGGCCGCCTTGGCCCGGACTCGCCCAGAGCGCAGGGTGTGTGCCCCACTGCGCGTGGAGCGCGGAGGCTCCTCCAGCCCCAGCTCCTCGCCCCGGCCCGCGCGCGCGGGTCCCGGAGGGCGCCGACCCCACCATGCAGCTGCAGTTCCGGAGCTGGATGCTGGCCGCGCTCACGCTGCTTGTGGTCTTCCTCATCTTCGCAGACATTTCGGAGATCGAAGAAGAAATCGGGTAAATAGCCACCCCGGGCCCGTGCCGCGAGCTCCGGCGGGATCTCTTCCCTCCCCAGGCTCCGCGCTCCCGGTCCGCTTTGTGTGCGCCGCGCCCCCCTGTCGCTCCGCTGGAGGGTTGGGGCTGGCGGTTTGGGCTGGGGTTGTTAGTGTCAGGGGCCCGGGACGCTTTGGGGAGTGGATGATGGGGGCGCGGCTGCCGAGGGGTGTCCCCGGGCGGGGTACACGGGCAGCTGTAGCCGCACGGCGTGGAGAAAGCGGACTCGCCCACCCTGTTCCCTGTCCCCTGGTCCCTTCCCCTGGCGTTTGCGCTCGCCGCTGTTGCCGGGGTCGAGGGAGGGCGCCGGGGAGTGTCTCGGGCGGGTAGAAGGACGGAGAGTGGAGGGAGGCAGGAGTTTCTTTGTCTCCGGCTCGGCCGCTTTCTCGCCTTGGCAAAGTGGGCAGGGGGCGCGCGGGGATCTCTGAGCTGGGGGAGGGGAATCCCCTGGCGGGAGCTGAGTGAGGTAGACTCTGCATCGACTCCGGAGAAGCGGAATATGCTCTACACACACAGGCACGCTCCCACGCCTCCCGCCAGCCAGCTCAGGATCCCGGCGTGGGGGGTTGGCACTGCTTAAGGTGTGGCGCGCGGGGCTGGAGACCCGGGCTCTCTGCTAGCTTTGAATGTTCAGCCAAACCTGCGACTCCCCAGGCGACCCCGGGTTGCTGTGCGCTCACAGCAGGCGCAGAGAGATGGAGACCTTGCCGGAAAGTCTCCATCGCCGGCCGGTGGGCTCCAGGGTCCTCAAGAGCGCACGGTCTCAGCTTGTCCCGATCTCTTCATGGGTGGGCGGGACCACAACCTCGAGCTGCTCCTGGTCCGGGACTTCTTGGAATGCGCTCTCTGAAGGAGCCTGTCACACCATCAGGGTGCCCCCTGGATTGAGGCTGGCGCCCGGCCCTTCAGACTTCTGCACGCGGAGCCCGACCCCTGTCCGGAGCCTCCAAATCGTGGTGGACATGTGGGAAGTAGGGCTCTGAGGTGGCCTTCAGGAAAAGGGTGAGGTCTCAGAGAGGATGGCAGACAGTGGGCGAATCCGGTGCTCTGTGGGATTTGTGAGGAGCCAAACATACGGGCGTCCCATGCTGCGTGCGCCCCTCCTTTGTCCAACTTCATTATCCACACGAACGGAGGATGCGCCGTGCTGTCAGGCCCCTCCAAAACAGAGAGCGACCAGAATCCAAAATGCTGAAGCCCTGGGGACCCTAGCCTGCAGGCAGGTGTCTCTTCCCGCTCTTTGCTTTCGCTCTGACACTCTCTCTCTGTGATGCACAATACATCCTATGGACTCCATTATGCTTCACGAGCCCCTTTTGGCGTTATTCTTCTCCTCATCCTCGGTTTCCTCAAGAACTCTGAAAACTTTCACCGATGTTCAGTTAGCACACTATGTGCCGCCAGCGCCTAAGCACAGGCAGAAACAGGCTACTTTCCCATGGCTGTTCTCCTGGTGTGTTGCCAGAGAACCACCGGTCGCAACAGAAGTTGGTGAAGTCACATTCTGGGATACTGGAAGATACAGTGATGCTAAGATGGGCCTTCTGCACTTCCGGGTTTTTGCCTGGCCCAGACCACTGGGTGACGTTTGGCGATGGGGAAACGAAGGGCCCAGATGCCCACTAGTTCTGTTATAAGAACATGTACTGCCTCTCCCATACGCAAACACCGTTGCCCATCAATTTGCTAAACTTCTTACTGAGTACCTTCTATTTTGCCAGGGACTTTTAATTTTTAAAATGTAATGAGAAGATCAGTTACACGTAGTGTCTCTCTTTCCTGTCAAAGGCATTTTGAAAGTTCCACTTTCCATAGTCAGATTCTTCCAGCAGGCCATCAGGAGTTTCCAGAGGAGCATTTACATTTAGAGTGTATACTGAAACTCAGGGCTCGGTGCTGTGAGCATATCCTCTGTGATATGTTTCACCTGGAGATCCCGACTTCTTTTTTCTTTTGCCCCTAACCTGAAGAAAACCTCCACCTAGCCCACACTGACGTCTGCTGCAGCACCTTGCCCCGCTCTGACTCTGGCGTTTGGGCTGACTAACATTTAGCTTGGTCAGTCATCACGACTTTCTAGTTTGATGTAGTCACCTTGGTCCTTTATCTATGCCACGTGATCGTCATCGATAGACCAGTTCCATTTGCAGTCAGTCCCATCCATGTTTAACCTGGGGGGAGGAGGCTTATTGCATTGGCCACGCACGGGGAAGGAAAGAACAATGTGGGCAGGGAGGATGGGAATCCTACTTATTAACACCTCACTCCTTAGCTGACTCCTAGAACAGTCGCTGACTCCTAGAACCACCTCAGGTGTGAATGGTAAGGTGTAGGTAAATGACCCATCACAGAGACGGGGGAGGGTTGTCAAGAGGACTGTCTCCCGTGTCCTGTGCTTTTCAGGATAGCCTGGGATCCTACTCAGGACCACAGTGTTCTTGGACCAGCCCTTGCTACCTCTGCAAGAAAGAATAACCAATTAACCGCCAGAGAGAACCATGGTCCTGAGGTGCTGGGGATGCTGATTCTGGAAGGCAGTAGACAGTGGGAACCTGAGATCTAGTGATCCTGCAAGCAAGAGAGAGTCACTTTAGGGATAGGTTTCCCAAGAATTAAGGAATGGATAGTGAAAGAAGCAAGCAACTCTCTCTCTCTCTCTCTCTCTCTCTCTCTCTCTCTCTCTCTGTGTGTGTGTGTGTGTGTGTGTCTGTCTGTCTGTCTCTCTCTCTCTCTCTCTCTCTCTGTGTCTGTCTCTCTCTCGCTCTTTCTCTCTCGCACACACACACACACTCACACACACACACACATGCACACACGTATGGCCTGGAGACCCATTTTTCGGAAGTCTCTCAGTGCTTTCTTAGAAGATGAGATCGTAGGTTAGTGGCGTCTATGGTTCTGACCCGCCTCCTGCACTACATATGCTCTGGCCAGGGGTAAAGCTTTCTTTCAGAGGTTTCGTCTGAGAGACATCTCTCTTCTTTCTGAGTGATTTTCTTCCAACTTCTACTCTTGACACTCTAGTTCTCATTCAGCTGGGACTGCACCAGGCAGGAAAACATGCATGTACAAAGGCAAATTCTCCGCTAAGCACCCAAGGAGGCCTGCCTGAGAGCAAAGAACACAGGCGAGTTCTGAGCCAGCAGTCGAATGGGGCTTTGGTGAAGCAGCCACATACCTAGCCCAGGAGTACCTCCTGAGCTTTAACGTCGGCTGGCCCATGTTGGATCAGGCCATGTTGGATCAGCATTTAGATATTGTGACATGATATGATTATTTGCAAAGTCCACAATATGCTGTCTAGTTACCAAAAGAAATAGCAAAACAAAAACTTATGACATTTAAGTTTATACTTTTGTGCTGGACTATGTTCATAGCTCCTTTGGTGTGTGTAGCACCTGTGGGCTGCCCCATTGACACACCTACTAGGTAAACTGAGTCATCCTGGTCTTGAGTGTGACACCGCCATAGGAGTGTGGCTCATGGTTGTTGTGTCAAGCACATTGTCTTTGCAATAGGCCCACAGAAGTCATTCAAGAAGTATGGGTTTTCCCAGTTTGTCACAGAACATCCTTGGGCAAGGTGGCACTCGGAGGTCCTCAGGCCACAAAGGGCTCCTCCTGTAGAAACAGCTCCCTGGGTTATGAGTTAGGCTTAGTTTGATGTAATATCAAATATCTAAGCCATACTGTGTTTGCTTCCATGTAAGGCCGCCTCATACAGATCTCCACCTTTGCCGTCCAATGCTCTAGTCACCAGATGAGCCATTATAATCCCAGGAACACTACAGAACTCTGTTTAAAAGATAAATGCGTAGCTGGTGACCCTAACAATCCCAGTTGTGGCACTAAGGGGGATGGTAATGATGGTTAGCATGAACTGAGTACTTACCAGCTGAGAGCTATTCTTGGCTGGCCACGGCATTAACATATTCTATCCTTGTGGTACCCCAACGGCAAGCAACCAGGGGCACCAAGAACTTCTTGGTTCATTGCGTCCCATGTACCAGGCCCACGCTGACCACCTGGGAGCATCTGCTCACTGACCCGTCACTCCACCCATCTCCAGCGGGGAGTGCTGCTACCCCTAGTTTATCCGGAAGGAAGCTGAAGCTGTGAGTTAATTCGCTAGTAATGAACCTCTTAGTACTTGACCCTAGGTCTACATAGGCCAGAGGTCAGGCAGACGGTGGGCTAAACCTTCTGCAGGAGGTAGCGTTCTCATTCTCTTGCCAATTAGACTCCAGTGGCAGCTGAATCAGACTTACCTGATTGTATCCAGGCATCCAGAGCAGGGGTGATAGTGAAGATATTTAGAAACCGATCCATCTCGAGAACTGATGTGTTAGGGATGGCTATCTGAGTGGTCAGAATTGATGCCATCTAGTACATCATGCCAGGGTCCTGGTACCATATTAAATGTCAAATCATGTCTAAGAAAGTAACAGAGGAGGAAAAGTTAGCGCTGTTCATCAATGAGACCCGGTCTGTGAGCAGGCAGTGACTCCTGCCATCCAGGGCCAGCAAGCTTAAATACACTTCTCAGAGGAAGAGTCTGGGTGGATGCAGAAGAACATGGCCTTGGGCAGCTGCATCCTCTGCTCTGTGAGAAGAGTTTGTGTTTATTCAAGGTGGTCCTTGTCATTGGGGGGAGGCATTCATTTTTTTTTCCTCCTCCTCCATCCTAGTATAGTTCACCCAAGCATAAATACAATTAAAAGATAAAATAGAAGAGAAAGACGTTCTGGTTTTAACTCCCTTGCTCTGAGTCCTTGATGCCAACTGTTCCAGCATCCAATTTGAATTGTAAATAGATATCCGTCTTGGAAACCAACTCAGCGCGCAAGGCCTCTCTCCCCTTGTAGTACAGAGTTGCTAGGTTTTAAAACTGTTTAGGTTTCACAATCTGGGAAATGGTGAAAAGTGAAAAATTATAACTACTAGACACAAAGGGTGGGATTCTGG